GGGGTGGCAGTTGCATGCTGGGATGCCTTGTGAGCAAAGAGCCACTCAGCTCCACTAGGGGGCAGACTAATTTTCTCCATATTTTGCAGAAATTCAACTTCCTACTTACAGGAGGGGTACAGAGAACCAACAGGAAAGGAGCTACACAGTGGTGAGGAAAGATGAACTTGAGTTTGACTTCTCAGTGCCTTTTCTCAGGGAAGAGGAGAGGGTATCACCTAAAGATGCTGACTTTCCTGCTGCTTCTCCTAGGACGAGGTATGAGTCTTATTGGGTGGGGAAGTCTGGAGTTAATGCTAATATTGAGTAGAGGAGTAGGGGGTCTGAGGCCACCAGTCAGAGGATGGGGGGTAAGAGGCTGGATTATAAGATGGAACAGAATAACAGTTGGCAGAGCACAATGGAGGCAGTGCCATGGGGTTCTTCGGGATCCAAGGTGACATTGGAGCAAATAGTAAAAAGACCTTCCTGCGTGGGGTCAAGCTGGTCAGCGCTCATGGGTTTCTCTGTCTCCCTGCAACCAGGCTCTGTGTTTGGTGTTCTCCTCTCCCAAAAGCCAAGCAGAAATATCTGTCAACGTGGGACTTCTGTGACGATCCAGTGTGAGGCTGATAGCCAAGTCACCTTGATGTTCTGGTACCGTCAGCTTCCAGGACAGAGCTTGACACTGATTGCAACTGCGAATCAGGGCTCAGAGGCCACTTATGAAAGTGGATTTAACAAGAAAAAATTTCCCATCAGCCGCCCAAGCCTAACATTCTCCAACCTGACTGTGAACAACTTGAGCCCCGATGACAGCAGCTTTTACTTCTGCAGTGGAGACACAGTGCTGGGCACAGATCAAAGGTCTGAGCAAGAACCTCAGCTCCCTCCTGCCCACCTCCCTCCCCAGTTCCCATCCGGATGAGCCCGAGCACCCTGTCGGAGGCAGGCTGGAGGGAGGAAACCACAGCTTTCAGGCAGACACCACAGCTTGTGTGTTTGCGGGTGGGTATGAGTGTGAATGGGTAGAAGGAATGGAGAGAGAATTTGTAGGACTAGCTGGAGGGCTCCATCCACAGACAGAAAGAGAGGCTACTGGGAGCCTGAGGATAAAATCTCTTCAAGAAGAGTGTTTAGAAAAGCTCAGTAAAGATAAACAGATATAGTTTGCCTTCAACTGCCAAGCTCAGAAATATCCTTTAACTATTTAATCTCAATGCTATATTTAGCTTGCTCTCTATCAATATAGATCGGAGGCCCTTAGTCATCTTGATGGAATACTGGTCCATCACTCTGATGGCATTATGCTGATTGCTCTTCATGAATAGAAATTATAAAGCACTCAGGACACCTCAGTATATGACACGTGCACTCCAGACCAATGTAAAATCTGCAAAAGTCAGGGACCTGTCACATGGGTGAGCCTTGGCGTGGTCCAGAGGTGAGGAACATGTCGGAACATCTCCTCTCACACGAGAGATAAGCTGCTGCATCCTATTACACCTGCCGTGCAGAAAGAGGTGCGATGCTTCGTGGGCCTCTCTGGGCTTGGTGTTAACAGATGCTGCAGTTGGCTGTGCTGCTCTGGCCCGTGACTGCGTCAACTGTAAGGCTGACCCTGCTGCGCACAGGAGAGCTCTGCTGCAGAAAGAGGCTGGGGGGAAAGCTGCCCTGCCACCTGGGCCAGAGCCCGAGCAGGCTCAGTTGTTCTGAAGTTCCTGTGGCCAGTAGGGGTGCTCTGTGAAACCCTTGGCATCCCTCAAAGCAGATGCAAAGAGCTTGGGTGTAAAACCATCCTCTCTTCTACCTGCCAACCGCTCATCTTCCTTTGAAAAGCTGCTCCCAGCTCTTGACCTAATGCCTCACCGTGGTGTTCAAAACTGCGTGGTATCGAATCCACCGGAAAGCTAGACGGGCACAGAGTTTTCTGTGATATGTGGAAAATGTGTAACCAAGACCAGTCTCAATCAGAGCTGCAAGAAGGGACAATTTAAATTTCAAAAGCAAGACTCAGTCTCGTGGTACCCACTTCTAGTTCACACCCCTTGACCCTCAATCCATTCCCAAGGCTTCATGGGAAAACTGAGGCCTGTGCTCTGGATGGATGGGCGCTGTATTCTCACAGGCTCATTACAGTTTATTTCGCAAAGGTAATGGCGTAAAGTAATCCTCAGAAGGGCAAGGACTTCAGCCCATCACTGTGGTTGTCCACACTGTATAGAAGGAGAGACGGCCCGAGGTGTAGACCTTTTCTGTGTTCAACTTTCTCTCTCTCTGTCATCTAGGCTATTCATTCGCAGTTTTCCTCCTTTTGCTTCTCTGTGGTGCGTTATGGATAATTTCTTTATACCTGCTCTCCAGTTTACTAATTCACACCTCAACTTCAATAATCCATCTAACCTTTCCATTGACTTTTTAGTTTAAATTATATTAATTTTCATTTCTAGGAACTCTATTCGGATCTTTTACCAATAGGAGTGGTCATTTTTGAAAGTATCTTGTTCCTTATGTATTTTGAAATTATTTTTTTGAGGATATGAGGCATCTGTTCAGGACTTTTTCTGTTAATGCCAACTCCTGATGACTTTTTGCATCTGGTTTTCTTGTTTGTAGGTTCTGCTGATTCTCTCTGAGGGAGGCTTATTTCCTTGAGCATCATAGATCTTGATATTATAAATTCATCTTTGGGAATATTTTAAATATCGGAATAAGATGAGTTTTTCAGGAAATATTTATTTTTGCCTCTATCAAGCAATTGGGATGCAGCAGACCTGGGATCATTTAGTTTTATAATTCTCAACATGTGTCTTGGTCATACAGTGTCTATCCCAAGCCCCAAAGGACTGACAATGCAGTGCTGTGAATATTTAGGGGAAATTTTTAAAATCCTCTATCCAAAGCCAAGAGCAAGAAAAATCCTATTTCTAGTTAACTGCCTATGGGCTTATTTTGTGTGTTTGCCCTTTTATTAAGCGTGTGTGTAGCTCTTCCTATATCCTGGCTTCATACAGGAATGATTTCCATCTGGCTCCTACTTCACTACAAGGACCAGTGGGTCTTGCTCCGTTTCCACACATGCTGACTCGGGGGCTTCCGGGATCCATATATGAGCCCACTGGGTCTACTGTTTTATAATTTGTTCTCTTAACCCAACAATATTTCATAAATACCACTTTATGTCAAAAAATATACTTTATATTAGCCTCTATAAGAATATTTTAATGTATTAAGGACCATCCTTTTTTTTTTAATCCTTACCTGAGGATTAAAATAAAAACCAAAATCAATTTTTATTGATTTTGGGAGAGAGACATCAATGTGAGAGAGAAACATCGATTGTTTGCCTCCTGCACGTACCCCAACTGGGAATAGAACCCACAACCTTTTGGTGCATCAGGATGACACTCCAACCAACTGAACCATACCGGCCAGGACTGACCATCCTTTATATATCCATTTTTTATAGTCAAAACCAATGGCAAGGTAAAAATCCATATCCTAGGTGACAGGGTTATTTAATTTAAAAAGCAATGGTTGTATGTGTTGGTTTATTTCTCTTACAGACTCAGCAGGCAGAGCAAAAGCCCCTTTACCCCAATTGACTCCTCCTTATTCAGATTTCAACTCAAATTTCATCTCCCCAGAGAGATCTTTCCTGGCCACCTTGCCGAATATAGCACTTATTGTCCCAGCCACCAGTCACTCATGTCAATTCTTACTTTAACCTGTTTTAATTATACCTAATCACCATAGTCTGATATAAATATATACTATATATACATAGCATATATATTTTTATTTATTGCCTCTCTCCCATTGCCATACACACAAATACACATCAGTGCCACTAAAGCAAGGACCTTTGCTATCTTCTGCATTGCTGTTTCTCATAGCTTTGAAAACCCACAGCAACATCACAGTAATTCAGTAAATATTTATTGAGTATTATGGACTGCATGGTGTTCCTGTGAAATTCCTATGTTGCAGTCCTAACCCCCCAAGTGTGACTGTATTTAGAAACTGGATCTTGAAAGAGCTAATGAAGTTAAACCATGGCCATTGGGGTGGACCCTAATCCAATCTGGCTGGTGTCCCTATCAGAAGAGATTAGGACACACTGGGAGAGAACGCCAGGGTTGTGCCCACAGAGGAAAGGCCATGTGAGAACACTGTGAGAAGGTGGCCACCTGTAAGCCCAGGAGGGAGGCCTCAGGAGGAACCAACCCTGCTGACACCTTCATCGTGGACTTCTAGCTCCCAGAACTGTGAGAAAATAGATTTCTGTTGTTTAAGACACCCAATCTGTGGTATTTTGTTATGACAGCTTTAGCAAACTAATACACTGAGTAGAGAAATATGATCCAGAAATAGAGGAAAATTGGCCAAGCATTGCGGACATCCTTAGAGAAAACCTCTATAAAAGCATTTGAATGTAGACAATGTTAACCCATAAGGAAATGAGCTAGATTGTACTAACAGGGAGGGATCAGATGCTTCAACCTTTATATTTGGATAGAAAGGTGGCCCAACAACATGTGCCAGGCCCTCTGCTGCCTCCCCCAAGGCTGGGAAAGGGACAGGTGTTATAGGTTCTAGATACGTAAGCCCAGAACCTGCTCAAACACAGTGGCCCTGAAGTGGATGGTCCTCAAATTACAACTGTGTTGGTTGGTGCCTGTGTGGACTGAGCACTCACTCTTGAACCTAAGACCCTTTCACAGATACTCCTGGACAGGTTGGCCTATAGGAAGTGGATGGACCAGTTGTCTGCCTTCCAAATGGACAAAACAGTCTAGAGTTTTATGAGCCAAATGAGTGGACTGAACCCAAATGGCTTATCCCCATGCTGGACTTGTGTGGCTCAGTCTAGATCTAATATGATTTAGGAAAATGAATACACATGCCATTCATTAAACTCTGAGTATTGTGCAAGAAGTCATGGCAGCTTCAATAACAACAGCTCACATGGGTAGTCCTCCTGGACTCTCTCCTGGCTTTCTTTTGCTTACACTCAGATAGACTCAGGAATCACTTAAGCAGCTCTAATAGGTCCAGGGATGGGACAAAGAGTGACTGAAATGTGAACAGCAAGACCATTATATTATCGGAACCAACCTATCTTTAGATATAAAAGCCTCAATTGCTAAAGACCTCCCCACTCACCCCTCCATAGAAGACTAGAGAATATATAAAATATGTAAGTTTTCCCTCTGGGCATAAACATGCTTGTGTTCCCTGGCTTCCAGGTAGGAAATAGGATGGGGTTTGGGGAGTAGCAGAGGCTACCCCACTTAGCCAATCAGCCATGGCCCGTCTATGCCTCCACACCTCTCTTACTCTCTGATTTTCCTGCATCACACAGAGTACTCCTGCACTATCCAGATTCAGTGATCCCCAGGCAAGATAGTCAAGAAAACAGTTCTTATTGGATAAAGAGAAATTGTGCCATGAGGAAAACAGAGTTTAGAAAAAATAATGGAAGAAGAAAGGAGCTGGGAGTTTGGAAGGAAGATAGCCTGGAATGTGACAATCTGTTTGGAGAGTGGTGGGGAAGCTGGGGCCCAAGGAGGAGATGACTAAGAGCTGAGGAGAAATACCTGAGCTGGGGAGGGGAGGAGGGGACAGGGAGGAAAGTATTTTAAAACAAAGAAATTAGTGATTTGGAAGCTAACCAAAATCTGTCTCTCAGACCACTGGGAAATGAACTTAGCTTGAAGAAGAAAAAGCTCTCCTGGTGTCATCTGTTGATTCCTTAGCCAGGTGACCCTGGAGAAATCACCGTCTAAGCTTTAGACTCCTCACTGGTAAAATGACGAAAATGGTGTCTCCTGCCTACCTCGGGAGGCTGCACTGACCATCAAATATGAGGCAGGGGAGCTGAAGTTTCTAGTAGGCAGGTTCTAGAGTCAGATTGCCATGCTAACATCCCATCTCTGCCACTGACTGGCTGTGTGACATTGAGCAAGGTACTTTACCTTTATAAAGCTCATTTTGTCATCTATAAAATGGACAACCCCATAGGTGGCTGTGATAAAAAAACAATTTTTTAAGTTTCATGAAAGACTCACACAATGTTTGGTATAGTAAGCATACAAAAACTATTTAATATGAGCATAATTTAAAATTGATATGCTACGCACTAAATATGAACCAGGAGAATGTCTTAGAGAAACAGACAAAGCATCCATGGCTCAGATCGAAGAGTACCAAGAGGTGCATAGGCTTATACAAATTGAATTGGGATAAAGGTGGACCTGAATCCATCCTACACACCTGAATACATGCTGCACACCTGAGCCCAGAGTATGATGTCACTGTCCCCACCTAGAGCTCTCTTCTATGCCTGTAAGGTGGTTCCAGTTTGAAGAAAACTGACCTCATAGTCTGTTGTGGTGTGGTAGTTTATTCTAAGAAGGATATCAAGAGAAGGTAGTCTTAAGGCTTTAGACACAGAAAATCCCCAAGCTCTTGGGTGTTCCCTTTTAGACAGTGTCAGAGCCACAAGCACCAACACAAAGATTGTCCCCCTTGTCTCAAAATCATTTCTCATATTCTACCAAGGATTACCTCCCCATACCCGTATCCTCTAAAACAGGACTTCTTATGAAGACCCCACAACAAGGGGATAAAAATAAATAGCATATGTGGTGACATTACAGGACAAGCCCCTATTTCAGAGGCTCCATGACCTGGGTCAGCTACCTGTGAGCACAAAGAGGTGTGTCACCCATGCTTTAGATATGTCCTAGAGGGGTCCCAGCCATGGCAAGGTAAGGCTCTGAGACCAGGTGCTAGGTGGAAGGCTAATTCAATCTTCTATTTCTTCCAGGGAGACAAGCATCAGGAGGAATCAGGACATAGCTTGTCCTCTGACTTGATCCCAAAGAAACCTTCTCTTAGATGCCACCGGCCATGATTCCCATGCTTCTCAACACTTCTTGTGTCTCCCCTTAGCCTTGAGGCCATTTTCAGATCTGTATTCTCAGGCAAGACAGAGCCTTTCTGATTCTCAGTCTCATCTTCTATAAATGGAGATCACTGTGTTCTGCATACCTCACAATGAAAATGCTTGTGAAAAGTTAAACTTGAAG